TAGTAAAGATAATTTTAATATATTTGATTTAAAAATTCGCTATATCAAGGGTTCGCTATATCAAGGTTTGACTGTATCAATAAAACCAAATATGTATTTATTTATATTTACACAAGAAATATCTTTATTATATGGTGTAATATTTGTATATCCAGTAGCATGAAGCATTATATGCCATGCTCATAGTTCTCTTTCCTGAAATTCATAATCCAAATCATATATTTTGCTGAAATGGGTATGTAGTTCAATGACATTACTTTTTTGTTGTATCCAATTTTGGAATACTTGACGTTATTCAACTGATCCTCTAATATTTCTTTTTAAATGCAACGTATATAATTTTTCCATAATTGTCTTATTATTCCAATCTGAAAGTGTGCATTTAGGTAATTGATGAGAAAAATATTCTTGACGTACTTGGTTTATTTTATCTAAAATTATAGGATGATTTATAACAAACAAAACTCCAGTTTTATTCCAAACAGAATTAGGTGAAATATCTTTATATTCAGCAACAATTTGACTGTTTTGATAAATTGTAATTAAAAAAAATCTTTATTAATATGCTGATAAAAAACTGATTATACCTCCCGATATTTATAAAATAATGATGCCGCATAATTATGACCAACTTTATTTGTATTCGATATTATAATTTTGCCAAGCCAACTAACAAAAACTGTAATGTTTTCTAATTCAATAATAAAAAGACAAAATATAACATCTTCCAATAACTTTTGAGCTGTTTCAGGTTGGTCTACACCTAAATATGAAAGTTCTATATATTTTGTTTTACTGCCAAAAACAGATTGGTAAACAGAAGTAATAGCTGCAGAGGCACTTGTATTAATGCTACTACTTTGTCTCTTTCCTTCGTAAATATATCCAGGCTGTAATGAACTATGAACATTACGAACTATGCAGATAACAAATGAACTATTATTAAGTTGGATCATAATTTCAAGTCCTAGACATAAAGAAGTAGAGTAATATATTTGATTTTCTTGAGTTTTTTCCTTGGAAAAAACCTACCAGTCACGTAAATATGTGCTATAATAAAGTTCTGGAATAATACTACCAGTTGCAATAAGTTTTCCTGGTGTAATATGAAGTCGCCGGGGGTTCTTTGATATAATTATATCAAAGAACCCCCGGCGACTTGAGTTAGGTTATGTCATCACCGTCAT